ATGAACTCCAATAGAAGTTGAAAGAATTACTTCTTGTTTCACCAATTTGAATGGAATGCAGATTTGGCAGATTCTTCAATTCAAAGTCTCCTCCAAAATCACTGAAACTGTATTGACCAATTTGAATGGATTCCAATGATCCACAATTCAATATGTGGAATGATTTCGATCCATTGTTTGCTAGCTCTCTATCCCATTTGTCCATACTCCTCATAAAAGTACAAGAGTTTATTCCGATTTTCAGAGTTTTCAAGCGGTGCAACCCATCGATTCTGAATGTTTGCACTGATCCAAAACATTCATCGCCGATTTCGATAGATCGTTGCCACTCGAATTTGTTCATGTTCAATGCATTCACATTGTTACAACAATTCGATGAAATCGTTAATTCTGTCACTTGCAAACTCAGATTAACATAATCTTCATACTTACTAATATTCACGATTCTAGGACAATGAGCTGTCTCAGATTTTGGAATAATGGCCTCTGGACGTGCGGATACAGAAACCGGTGTTGTATTACGTCTTGCACTGGGCTTTGTAGCAGGTTTACCTCCTGAAGCTGTTGGTACCGAAGATTCTGATGCTGATGTTTAACATCCATGTAACAGATTCACTCCACTCACTTCCTTTCCATTTTTCCAGTCACTTTCTCGAAAAGCAGTTCCGGTCCTTTCATCAATCAGACATCCTTTCCCTTCACGAATAAACGTTTCATTGTCTTCATCATAGCGAAATCCACCTACATAGATCGGAATTCGTTTCGTTGGATCTACACTATCTACTCCGTTCCGCTTCAATTCAGTCATCGTATCTCCATTGAAACAGCGAATCACTTCAATCAATACTCCTTCGCTCCACATCCCTTCCACAGCCACAGTTCCGCTTTCTTCATCATATTCGATGCCCCGGCCATCTTTTTCTCCCCTACCATTGCACCCACCATGATACAGCATATGTCTCGTTTTAGCTGACCAGATTTCCATTCGAATTCCTTTCCTGTGGTATACAAAACGAACATGATTCGCTTGCTCCCAAATGTATTGATAACTTTGACGAAAGTCAACTCGACCATTCTTATAGGTTACAAACTCATTTGATATCTGCTCATTTCCATTTTCCTGCCATTGTTGTTTCAGTACGTTATTTTCATATAAGCACATACTACCATTCGGATACCTTACGAGAAATTCATTCCTGTGTTTTCCATCGAATCGTTGAGCAGTGCACTGCACTCCACTCTTGACGAAAATTTCAGGGTGACCGGATGCCACATATCCATCGAGTAAATATTCAGCTCCAAAGATTCCAGCGATATAAGCTATCCATAAGTGTACAAGACGAGATGTACGATCACTCTTCATAATGCTTCTTAACAAAATTATAATTATATGTCAAACGAGCAGATCCATTCTTTTGTATTTGTGAATTACTATTATTATATACGTTCTACACTACCTAAATAATGAATAGTAGTCCACAGAAGTGACCCAATACTGAAATAACTCATATTATGGGTGCTCATTCTATTACTTAAGCGACTAACTCGCTTTATGGATCTATTCCACACTTTCATTACTCCCATCTACTATTTACACGTTATTCACTAGAACCAATTTTTATAAATCTATTGGCTGAACTATTTTTAGCGAAATTATGCTGAATATATGCCATTCCATTAATATTGACTTTTTACCATAAAATATAGTAAAAGGCATTTTATGTATATATCGCTTGGCTAGTCATTTTGTGAGTTGCTTTTGTTTGTGTAGATTTGTGGGAAGGAACTTCATTGATTGCTCTCGCTCTTACTCAAGGCAAAATGCACCCATTGATTTAGATTTCCGAGATTTATTTCTACGATTGAAACATGTTGATATCAATAGCATGTACTGACGTAATGCTGAATCCATTCAGGACAATTCCATATATATTTTTATTTTTATTTTTGCTTTAATATAGTGATGTGATAAAGTAAATAATAATAATAATAATAATAATAATAGCCTCTCTTAAAATACATTGAGAGTTTGAAACAAATAGCAATCTCCAGTTACTAACCCATTGTATCTTCTTTCCAACATATCAAACGGAATCACTGGTAAGGCATTATTGTTTGACTTGAACAAGATCAGCGAGTAAGGGAGAAACATCTACGATAATAGTGATAACAACCCAACCTTATACTCGATATTGATTTTGATTTCACTTCCTCAAAAGAAGAAGCCAATGTAACTTCTTGAAGATTGGGAATGTCTAATATAGTCAATATTGTATATTTTAGAATACTCTCTAACGTCACTGCACTAACATAGCGAAAGCTTCCTCTTCTACTACAAATGATTGATGTCAATTCGGGAAGATCTGCATATTATCATTCACTTCCACCTCAGTCATACTTCGCATTATCAACGAGGATCCTGCTCTTCGAACTCCACAAAGCGCTCCAACACCAAGATCAATAGATACTAGTTTTGGAAGATCTATATATTATATCTCAACTCTCACCAAGCAATACTTTCGAAAACAGTTTCTTTGGAGTATTCCAGTGAATGATTACCTAATCTTACGGTACGCAGACTTGGAAGATCTAATCATTCAAGTATTCAATAAAATAGCAATACCTCGAATAATACATGAGCAACAGCAAAGATTCCATGAATCTGTTGCAACAATACCAATTTGGATAGATTGCAACTGTGGTAGATTCTTCAATTCAAAGTCTCCGCCAAAATCACTAAAGCTATATAGGCCAATATCAATCGATTCCAAGGATTCACAATTCAATATGTGGAATGACTTCGATTCTTCGTTTCCCACGTAATTTTTCTGCTCTGTAAAAGAATTGACTCCGATCTTCAGGCTTTTCAATCGATTCAGTCCATCGAGTTTGAAAGTTTTCACTAATTCAAAACATTCATCGCCAATTTCGATTGATTCCAAATTGTAAAACAGTGAAGCATCCCAATCTTTTAATACACAATTGTTGGTCAGTTTTAAATGCTTCATTCCGATATTCATTTGCTTGCTTCCATCTCCTTCATAGTCATTAATATTATATTCAATTCCATTGTACCATTCGCATTCTTTTAGTATTCTTCCCTTACGATCATACACTTTCCCTCTCCCACATCGATTATTATCACACCAGTATCCTTCATATTCCACCGCACCATTATTATGATAACTCTTTCCATATCCAAATCGTTTCCAATTGATCATTATGCCCTTGTACACCAGTATTCCATCATCATCATACATTTCACCATATCCGAAAGGAATTTTCTTTTTGTCGTCATCTTCTGGCTTCATCCACCCCTCAAAACGACTTCCATGTTCCAAGTCCACTATTCCTTCTTCCATTATGGATTCTCCGCTATTTGAAATGTCATCAACTTGATTGTTTCTGATCACTTTCAACACTTTCTTCTCATTCAACATATATCCCTCATTCAGAAATACACCATTGTTGAATTTCAGTACGACGTATATATTGTTACTCAACAAGAGTGAAACCCAGCCGTCCACTTTCATTTCGTTACCCAGAGATATTTCAACATCCTTGAGTATCGAACTATTAATATTTTTGTTGTTTGTATAAAACCTGATAAAATCAACAATCTTTTGCATTCGGAAATGAATAAAGTAAAAGTCATGTCGAAAATCATTTCGGCATCATTTGTGTTTTTTTATTGTTTCTTTGGTCATAAACATAATCATGAGTTTAGAGTCTATATTTACTAGTTGAATCTTATGGTTTTAAGTGGTTCCATGGAGCATTTTCCTATTTTGCTTATTCTCTGTAAGAAGTATAGGAAAATGAGTTCCTAAATCACTAGAAGGTGATTTCTAAATTGTATTTTCTTGGTTGAGTGGGATTCCATCATCGCTTCTCTTGGTATAGGTGACGCTATTTCTATTATATATCTTTTGCTTTTTCCATCCAATTTTACAAAATCCAACGATTTAATGTGATTGTCGTTTTATCTCACTGTTTGCCAGTTGAATAAGAATTACATATTGCGAGATAGACACAATATGCAACACACTGATACTATTCAGGTGATTGTGCATTTCACCAATCCTTCCCACTCTTAACACCATACTCTCTTATGTTCACAGCCTTAGTATATACTATTTATTTATCAACTACGATCACTACCATTCCTTTTCCACTAACCTCGACCACCTGTTTCAAACCAAACATAAGAAACATAACTATTCGGAAAGCAGTCCACCATCACCATCTCATCAAACTCTTCCTCGTTTCTTCTGAACAGAACTCTCAATCTCGCCACCGTATCCTTCTCCTCAATCTCCTGGTTCCGAAATCGGAACAACTGACTCACCACTCCTTCTCCCAGCGCGGGCACCACATCACTCGACAACGGCTTCATCTGCAGCTGCACATACTTGGGCACGCTCACCAGCAACTGCAGATCCTCCACATCCTCCGCTCCCTGGTTGCTCACCTCCGCCTTGACGAGGGTTTCTCCCAGCGCAGCTCCCTCTTTAAACTTGAACACGATCGTTAAATCGTGCTGATTGAACACTTCTTCGCTGTCCACGCGGCGCGGCGAGCGCGGCGAGCGCGGCAACATCGCTGACTCCGATTCCGACTGGGATTCGGCGATGGCTTCGCGCGTGGAGGGAGATTGCATGGGTTCTTCGGGGGGTTCTGTCGAGGAGAAGCAACGCACACAGCCAACCTGTATCGAGAAGCCCGAGAAGGTCTTCGACGTTATCCGCCGCGGGGCTGGCGGGCAAATCCGACGATGTCTCCGACGACGAATCGATCGCTTCCTTCGACGACTCGCTCGACGACTCGCTCGACGACTCGCTCGACGACTCCTCGGAATCCTCCGCCTCGTTCAGCTCGTTTTCCTTACGAAGCATGCGCGCAGTGTCGATATCCAACGGCGGCATTCGCTCCAGCAGCACGTCCAATTGCACATCCGGATCGCTCAGCAGAATCGAAAACCTGCGCGTCACGCTCTTCGCTCACTCCCACTCCGACGCTCTCTGCGCCAATTCCAACTCCTGCGACGCTTCGAAGCCCGCCATGATCTTCGGAAGCTCGCTGAGCTCGCCGAGTTCGCCGGAATCATTGGAGTCAAAGCGGTCGGAGAGCTTCAGAACGGATGTCAGGAGGATCATACGCGTCTCTTCGCTGCAATGACGATCGTTCTGGAAGTCGTAGAGGAGATCCACGATCGCGCTGGGCTGCACAGCGTCGAAATGAGTCGGTGAGGACACACCCTTCTTTTGATTCCTGGCATTTCGCGAAGAAGAAGAAGAAGAAGGTGCAGATGGATTGTAGTAAGGCTCGAGAAGCAAATCGCCGTATTCTCCGATAAACCACAGCGCAGTCTGCACAAAGGCGACCTGGCTTCGCTCCGTTCGAATGTCGTTAAACAGCACATGCACCTACAAATCACACGGCAATCAATCATCCAGACCGTGTAAGACGCAAGAGCGTCGTCTTCGTGACTCACCACATCGACGAGCGTGGACAGCACTTCCTCATTGCCCGTGTCGCCGTTGAGTTTCAGCAGCTCCAGCAGCGTATCGACCTGCCAAATCGCCGACGGCGCGAACTGCTGAACGAGCGAGGTGACTTTGGAGATTCCGTCTCTTCGTTCTTCGCTATCCACGACTTCGCTCTGCATCGAACCGACCCCACACGCCTACCAAATATTGGAGAAGCTCGGAAACGATGATCTCCACGGTGTTGAGTCGCACGAGGGCGATGAGAAGCTCCAATGCGCGGCGTCGAATCGACGGGTCCTCTTCACGCAGACATCCCAACACGAGAGAACGATGTCTCGACACGACGGTATCGTCGATGTACGCCATCTACGTTCAAAACACGCACCGATCCGACTTGGAGGAAGAGGGAGAGCGATACAAAGCGGATATCTGGATTGCTGTTCTGGAGGAACTTGCTGAGAATCCCGGCGGCCTCGATCAGATGGGTCGAGGATACGTTGAACGACAGCATCGTGCGGATGCACTCGTATAACACCACCGTCCAGGCGACCGAGCTGTTATCCGCCTTCGAATAGATCTATGATGAAGGTTGCTGCGAGAACAAACAAGGCTGATCACATCGATGACGTCGTCGGCTGCGGTTTTGTCGTCGTCACAGAGCAAACAGAGCAGCTGAAGCATCTTGACTTGGACGAACGGGTCCGGAACATTGCCCACCATACATTCCGCTTTGCCGTTCCCGCCGATTACCGTACGAAGACGCTTCACGAGATTGGGAACCATTTTGCGGAACTTTGGAATGTAGTTGGGTGCCAGTTGCAACGTCGAAATCGCGAGTTGGGTTGCTACAAAATGAGGTGAAACACAAATCAAGACCAGAAATTAATACGCCGTGGTCATTATCGAGTAATAAGGTTGGTAACGATTTGATCATATCATCAATTAATTCAGGAACAACAGATATGATTTTGATCATCGACAGACAAACTTTCTTGCGAATGTATAGATTCTCGTGATGCATAAAAGGAACTATTTCTGGAAAAACATCACGGGCAAGGGGTTCACAACAGCAATTACCACAGAAAGTCAGAGCGAGACTCACGATATACCTAAAATAGAACAAACAAAAGAAAGGAACGGATTTGTATTGGCTATGTCATTCTTTATCGAATTCACGGTCAGAAGGAGAAGATCACTTGATTCATTGATTAATAGACTCATGGCTAAGTAACCTATGCGCTTTTCTTCATATCCAGTCATATTTATTAATTGGATACTCGCCATTTGTCCAAAGTAGCACGGATAACCAAGCAAGTAGATAAATATCAACTTCTTAAGGTTTTCGCAGAGGGATTCAGATACGGACTGAGCGAAATCGTTACGAATAGAAGAACTCTCAGTAGCAATTAATTTTCGTTCTTCATCAGCAGAACTAGCGTTCTTCACCTGTTTGATAAAACCTTGCGCACTCTTTCGGAGAATTGATTTCTTTATATCTTTTAACTTGTCTAGTTTGTCCATAATATTAAAAAAAGATATTCGTAGATGCTTCCAAAATAAGAGTGAAATAGGGGAAGTATGAATTATAAGGAGATTTATAGTGGTCCTGTAAAGGCAAAGCATTTTTTATATTATGTGTGTGAATGAATACACCTGAAGTGGTACCATTTCTACTTCTGATCGTTTGAACCAAGTATTTGTTCATTTATTATACTTGGCGTGTTTAGCAGATTAATAATTTAGAAATATGACTACAAGTCCATAATTTCATTCAAGTGTTATGTACGTCCAGAATCCTGTACAATATTTCGTTTCTTCGTTTCTGAGTTAGGAATTATTATTCAAAGGATAGAGGAACATTCGAATGGTATTATTGTTTGATTCATGGTAGTATTGAAGTAACACTCTGGGCATAATCATAAAAGGAAAAGCAGTTTTGGAAAAAAATACGTTAAACAATATATACACATAAGAATGAACACGAAATGAATTGGTATACGGTCATTCTTCTGGTAATAGTCTATTTGGGGTATGTTGAATACAAACAAATAACTATAACAACAAGTATCGATTATAAATAACAACTAGAGTCACAATATAGATAATATATACAAACGGGGATAAAAAGTATGCAACATATCCCAAAAAAAACAGAAAAAATAGTGTAAAGCCAAATTGTCGACTTAAGTTCTTTTTTAGAAGTTTGCAGTAATGCCTTGTATATAATATAAAGTGTACCCGATATTAGACCTATGGTAATCATTATTAGTGCATAGTAAAATTTGAAGCAGCTAAAAGTGCACTCACATTTTCCTCCCCACTCTTCCTCTGCTGAATCCTCTAAATCACTCTCATCCTCTATTGACTCCTCTAAATCACTCTCAGTCTGACTTTCCGTTAGATAGATTGGATCATATTCAAAGTCTGATTCTTTTCTATACCTTCCATAATATACTTCTTGTCCGTTTTTAAACACTTTCATAATAGGACCATTGAATTTCTTTAGTAACTCTGTTTCATAACCATGTTCCCATCTGCTGATCTTACTAATCTTGCCATTATAATAGAAATAACATATTCCATGGTTTAAGCCATTTTCATCTGTTTGAAATAGTGAAACCATTTTACCTTTTTCATCTTTTTCATCCCAGTAGTTTGAACCATCCGACCTCAGCTTGATATTGGGTGCTCGGCGACCATTCTTAAAAAATCCTTCATAAATCGGACTTCCATTTTTATTATATTCCACTCCTGGACCGTGTCGATAACCCTTATACAAGATTCCAGAGAAATAGATCTCTCCAGATCTGTAATATATTGTACATTTACCATTAGCAACACCTTCCTGATAAGTCAAACTTGCTACAACATGATTGTCATAGTCATAAAGAAACGCCTCTCCATGCAATTTACCATTCTTTTGACTTGCTTTTAGAGTATAGCCTTGATGAGGGCTACCGATAAGACAAATGGCCTGACCCTTATCCATATCCATACTAATGATAGGAAATTCGCTTGAAACGCAGTTATTCCAAATATCAGTGTTTTCCTCATTGGAATCAATAGTAACACTTATTACATGTGCATTATTATCATGAGTAGTAAGTAGATCGGTATATATTTGCATAATATATAATTATTATCAAGTAGAATAAGGTAGAATAGCCAAAAAGAAAACGAATCTATAGAAAATGATTCTAAATTCTTGAGAATAATTGGAATTCCCCAAATTGTTCCTATTTCGTAGAATCCAATCCATTTTACTACTACTACACTACGATAACTATTATCAGTAATGATTCATATCCATTATTATCCTCCACCTCCATGACCAAAAAGCGTTTGAAACAAATCGAAGCAAATCAAAACAAAATAAACTTAAATCACTCTCACAGTTGCGTTTCCATCATCATACGCCCAAGTAGTAGGGAAATGGCGCATAAAGCGCGATAATTTTTCCGGCCCTTTTTCTGCCATTTTTATTCCTGACCTCCTTTTTTCTACCTGGCTGCCTTTATGACCATTGCTGCCCATTGCTCACCTCAGAGACCACGACGCAAAAAGCGCGAACCCTTTTTCTGCCAACTTGGTTATTATCTGCCCTTTATATTATGGTAAAGAGAGAAAGACCATGCACTACTCCATGTTTATTCAAGGCTCACCCATCAACGGCACATTTACCTGGATCAACCCCTACAAGTACAAGAATCCTTACATCACTTCCATGACTGTCCTGTTTCGACCCAAGGATGCCCAGGCTATGTTCAACAATGTGGACACGACGAATATTGTCACGAATTCGAATGACGAGAAGGTAACGATCTCTGCTGGTTACTACACGATCAGTGAGATCATTGCCTTGCTCAATATGATGACCGATACTACATTTTCCATATCGACGAATGCCTCGTCGTTCGGCTGTATCTGGATTCAGTCTCCACACACGATTGACTTCACAGATGCACCTGACATTCGTGAGATCCTCGGCTTCGATGGACGAACAGTCATTCTACCTGCTTCGTTCAGTGGATCGAATGTGATTGATATCACGCGAAATCGCCAAGTGATCCAGGTCTACTCGACGATCGTGCGATCATCGGACCTGAAGATTACCAACCAGAACAACAACCTGCTTACCACGATGATCATTGACGATCCAACGGCTGACTACGTGCGAACTGTGGAAGACGTGTGCATTCCAATGATCACTCGGTTTTATCGGTTGTATCGTAGTCACGGTCATCGTAGTAGATGTAGGACAGTTCCTTCAGTCCTTCGTTCACCACATTGTTGTGCTTGTTGTCCGTGGGTGCATTCAAGAGTGACCGGATCTGACCGATGTTCTCATTGTCTGCACTCAGAGGCAAGGACGCCAAGTTCTCACCATTCCAATAGGTGTACGTGACCTTCGTGTTGTTCACGATGCCCGACATGTTCTTCTTCACCGGAACATAGAATACCTTGGGTGAACCTGTTGCGTTATTTGCCAATCCGGTGATCTTGAGCTTGAACGTCATTCGAGACTTGTAGAGATTGAAGTACACGTCATCACCGGATGGAGCGATCGTCCAATTGATCACATCGGTTGACTTGATGTTATTGGACTGATTGCTGAACACAATCTGCGATTCGTAGTTATGCACAGGAGGAATTGTAGTAGCCATTTATTGTAGGGAATAATTTTTTCTCTGCCATAGTAAATGACAACACCAACACAACCTGAGAAACTTGTATATCTTCAGAACGGAGTGTTCAAGCGCAAGGAGATGACCGAGGGTATCCAGTACTACTCGGACAACTCTTTCGACACGTTCGCATTTCCGTCGACCAATGGCAACTATGTGCTCACCAAGACTGACGATGTGTACACATGGTCGGTCGCAGGTGAAGATTTCACTTCCTTGGATAACTCGTATTTCAAGGACAGCGATGGACAATCGATTACCATTCCAACCAATGGAGCTATTCCCTTCTTCAAGAATAACTCGGCGTTCGGAGCGATCAATCTGCCAGAAAGTGGTTCTTTCATTCTCACGACTGACCCGGATAGTGGTCCTTCATTGGAAGCGTTGACGAAGCCCGTGATTTTCGAGGCACTCGAACTTACGAGCACGTCGGACTGGTATGCGGTACCGAACTGGAATTCGACCAAGAGTGATTCGAAGAATCTATTCTTACCAAGTAAGCCGGGAACGTTCTTCCTTTCAGCCGATTCGAACAATGACTTCCAGTTCAACAAGGTCACGGCAAGAAGTCTTTTCCATGAAGCTCTAGGAATCGGATCTGATGGACAGAGAATCGTCACCTACTGGAACGATGCTGCCTATGGTTTACCATTGCCAACCACGGCAGGCTATGCGACATTCAAAATCGAGAGTAGCAATAAGAGTCCAATTCTTGCCAATCTCACGCCTGAGATCGTCTACAAAGACATCCTCGGGTGTACTAGCAATGAAAAGTGTCTCGTGTACAACAACGGGACCAACGTGTCCAAGCTAACAATCCCATCCACTGCTGGCAAGTACGTCATGGAAGTCAAAGAAAACGGCACAGTCTCGTTATCCCCCACATCGGCTAAATTGAGTAAGACATTCGAGTACACCTCCTGGACAAGTGGACACCAGGTTGTTAGCGAGGCACTCACGTCGGAAGGTTCAGACCTTTCTGCACCGATCAAATTGGAAACCAACAAGACGTACATGATCACCATTGATGCCGTACTTCGTTGTGACAACTATGAACAGGCACTTGTAGGATTCACGAGCGTGCCAACTCTCGTAATGGGTGTCGAGACAGCTACAATCATTAAAGCAAACTTGAATAATCCAGTGCCAACAACGACATTGAGTAGCACGAACATATTCACATCAGTACGCCCTGTAGATATGAAAATTCAAGTCATACGTTCTGGAGACACCACGATCGAACATTACTTCACTCGACTGAAGGTAAGCATCATGGAAGTGTAAGGGACATGTAAACCCAAAGTGAAATGCAAGCCTCCATTTTACTTTGGAGGCAACCGTACATGAAACTTGTTAGCTTTGTTAGCCTTGGCAGCCTCCATGTTCCACTTGGTCAACTCGTTCTGGTCATAGGCAACACCATTGATACTGATGTCAATCGTGCCATTAATCACAAGCACACGATGTCCCTCGATATCATAGATCTCATTGTTAGGATCGTGCAATACGTCAAACTGGGGATGACATTTGGAGTACCTGTCCTCATGGCATGCTTTCTCGAGAAGTCGTTTAATGTCAGGTGAATAGAACGACACATTCGGAGGATCATACTCCTCGTGATAACCTGCACCCTGTGGATCTTCGACGAACGAGTTGATCATGTTATGCACGTATTGTCGTGCAATCTCTCTTCGCTCTTCAGTCATCCAGCTGTTCATTTCTATTTATATTCTATTTCACTTTAATCTCTGTTGGACTGATCGATATATCGCTTCCACTGTCGTCACTTGATTCATTCTTCTCGTTATACACGCACAGGCAGTGACATCTGTCCTTGCATTTCGAGTCCACCACCAGTTTGTGGTTCTTCCTCTTACTCATCCATTTCCATATCCCTTTCAATCATTGAATAAAGCGGTTCATTTATGAATGAAATCA